AGCGGGGGGCATTACCTGGCTGGCAGCCCACGTCTGTTTGTCAGTCCAGTCCTTGTGGTTGCGCACGTACCACCACTGGATCTCAAGCGAGTAGGAGGGGGAGCCGCTGCCCCGGAAAGAGCAGGCCATCTCCACGTCCTCCCCGGCGTGGGCCGTCATGTCGTGCGGGGTCTCTGTGAACAGGGCTGCGGGGCACAGAGCGGAGAGCCGGACGGCGGTTAGGGAGCGCAGGGCCCGGCCCCACCTGCCCTGCCCTCCGCGCGCTCACCCCAGACACCCCGCTGCCCCGGTCTAGGGCAGGGAGCAGCCCTCTCCGGCCCCCACCGCCCTTCTGCTCCAGCCGTGCCCTGAGCCGAGGTCCCGGGCCATCAGCGTGGCCCAGCCCCAGCCCTGCCCGGGGATGCACAGGCCATGCGCCCCCTCCCCAGCTCGTCCACCCCCAGGAGCCACCCTGCTGCAACCGGGCCGAGACCGCTGCTCACCCCGATCCCTGAGCTGGGCCCTCCTTTTGCAGCCCCCTGCGTTGCAGCGCAGCCCCAGGGAGCGCAGCCAGCTCCAGCCTCACATCCGCACCCCTCCTGCGGGCTCCCAGGAGGAGACGATGCCACGCTGCAAAGAGGAGCCGAGGGGCCTTGGGGTCAGCTGGTCGGTCCCCGTCCCCGTCCCCGTCCCCATCTCGGAGCAGGACCCTGCCCCTGCCGCCCCCGCGTCACGGCCCTCCATCAAGGAAGCACCAGCCCGTCCCGGCCTGCATCCAAGCCCAAACGAGAAGCAAGTCCTCACTGGCTGCGGCCCCCGCGCGCCATATGGCCGGCTCGCCGCTCCCGACACAAACGTTGCGTGGAGACGTCATTGGGATTCTTTTCATCTCCTCCGGAGAGACGATTGCTCCGCGGCAGCGACGGGTCGGTCGGGAGATGTCGCCGCCGGCGGCGAACGCCAGCTCTCCCTGCCCCGGGGCTCCGGGGGACTTGCACAGGCAGCCGTCCCGCCAGGGCACGGGGAACGGGGCCTGGAGCATCCTGGGGCTCCTGGCTGCCTTTGTCCCCCGTGCCGCAAGCCACGAGCTAGGACACGAGAGGCAATGCTCGCAGCTCCGCGCCCCGGCGCTGTCCCCTGCCATCGAGGTAGCACGTCTCCGGCTCAAGGGCACAAGAGGGCCCTGCTCGGCCACGGCCTGGCGAGACCAGCGAGCCGCCCCGGGGCTGGGCCGAGGTCCAGCCCCGTTCACACAAGGGCTAAGATGCTCCATCTCTTGGTCTGAAGCCAGGGTGCCCAAAGGGACCCGCTGTACCCGACACCCAGGCCTTCCCACCAAGCCCGCTCTCCTCCCAGCAGAGAGGTACACCGCAGCCCAGACGCAGGAGACAGGAGGGAAGACCCCGGAGGTCACCTGCAATGGCTCCCAGCCTGGCTTCTGGCGTCTAATTACTAGTATCCCCGGGCAGAGGGACCCCCTGCTCTCTGCCAGCCGGCCCAGCCCGCGCCTCGAATCCACCTGCCCACGCGAGGCTGCAAGGCCAATCCCTTCCGGTGTCCCGTGCCGCCCCCTGCCCCCGGGGTGCCCTGCCGAGCCCTGATCCGGTCTGAGAACTGCCTCATTATCAGCCTAGACAGAAGAGTTAATGCCTTTAATATCCCCCCGTCCCTCTGGAGCCCGGGAAATCCCATATACTTATCGCTTGGCTTTAATCCTTCCTCGCAGGGGAACTGAGGAAACGCAGCATCCGGGGCTTAGCCAGCCGCCCTGTCCCCCTGCGGGCACCGAGAATGACCGGGGCTCCAGGCACTGCAGGAAGGTGCCCCACGCTCCACGCCAGGCTCCCCGGGGCCTGCGCGACGCACTTTCCCCGCACGCCGGTGGGAGGACGGGATGTGCTGGGCAACACATGGCAAACGTCCGTGTTCCTGGTCCTGATACATCAGTGCTGGGGCCATTACCTTGGAACAATTAAACACTGATTGCGCTGACATCCTCAGCTCGCTGCCTGGGAGGGAGACCGGCCCCCAGGTCCCGACAGCTCGCTCTCGCGGTCACAGAGAGCACGACCAGCTGCTTCCCTTCCTGCAGCCGCGGGGCACCCGAACCGGGTGCTGGGGGCACTGTGCAGCCCCCCACGCTGATCTGCAGCTGCCAGCGCGGGGCCTCCATCCCTCCGGTGCCATGTCCACCTCTTCCATTCCTGCCAGCTCCCCAGGGCTTTGCAAATGCTCTCCTCTCCGGACCTGCAGGCACCCTGATGCTCCAGGACCTGCCGGAGCCCCCATCTCCGGGGCTGTGCAACGTGGAAAAGGTGCTGGAAGGAGCATAGCGCTGCTGGGGTATCGACGAGGCAGGATCGGAGGCCTCCAGAGGCAACAGCCTGGTGCGGGGAGCCCGCGCCGGCGTCACGCGCTGTCGGCCGGTAGAGCTCAGAGTCACTTGTGGAGCTGGATCTGCAGCGTGGAGGTCCCCGTTTCCCCGGGGCAGGAGCTGGGTGCAGAGAGAGGAGAGAAACCGGGACCAGTCCCCGCAGGCCCCTCGTCTCTGCTCTTCGTGACAGATGCATCCACGTCGCACAGGCTGGACCCGGGGCTGCGGGGCATCGGTAGCACGTGCAGGTGGTCGCCCCGCGGGCTGGGGGAGCTCCCTTCAAGGAGCGGAGCAGGTCCCACACGACCTCCCCGAGTGGATGCCCGGCACACGGTTCTCACGGGCACGAGCGGCACACGGCGTGCAACGCAGCCTCCGGAGCCTGCCCTCAGGCTCGGCTTTGCTGGTGGACTGGAAGGAGCAGGCGCGGCGCTGGGTCGATGGAGGCCTCGCGCCCACGTCTAAATTCCCAGGAATACAATTAAAAGCAGCTCCCACAGACTGCGATTTGGCAGAGAAAGGGCTTGATTGAACCGAACATCTTCTTCCTTTCAGGCTTTAATTGGGCAGCGCTTGTATTAATTAACCCCGGGGCTCGGCCTTCTCCTCCTGCAGCCGCACGGAGGCTGGTCCAGCAGCAGCCACCCGCCAAAGCTTGTGCCTTGCTCGCTGCCACGGCGAAGGCCCCCCGGACACTGCCCGGCGCTGCTCCAGCCCTTCCCTTGGGGCTTGCTCGTTCGAGGAGCCCAGCTGGGTCCGGCTGTTGCTTGAGCAGCTGGAAGGGCTCCAGGCAGCACCTTGGAGGCTGGGCATCTCCAGCGCCTGCAGCAGCACCGCGCCAGGCCTGCTCCCAAGCATCCCGAACATGGGATTGTGCCGCGGGGGCCAGCTGAGACCTTGTAAGAGACTGGTCGTAAACTCACGCGGTGAAAGGCGGCGGAGGGCTTAACGGGGAGGAGGCACAGGGCAGCAGTCCTCTCCCCCTCGGCTCCCTTGTCTCCCTCTCCTGTGGGGACGATGGCATCCGATACCCAGTGATGTCAGCTCAGGGTGGCCGCTCGGACAGCAGAAACGGGCAGCTCCGGGCAGCCAGAAGGGCCTGAGCTGGCCAGGCGGCTTGGACTCTTGGCACCGATTCCCACCCGGTGCCACCCATGCCAGGACAGGCCCCACCGGCAGGATATCCTGATCATGGGTCTGCCGGAGGAGGCAGCTCAAGCCCGGTGGCTGCAAAGCTGGAAGAGGCTCTCCCCTTCCTTTCGTGGAGAAGCAACGTGCAGGGCAGCCGCGAGCGCGCACCAGCGCCGCCCAGAAGCATCCCGCGCTCCCTGCCCGCACCCCAGACGACGCAGCCCACGGCAAAGGGACCGAGCCAGGCCAGGGCCGTGCACAGCTGCGATTGAAGCCGTCGCGTGGCCCTGGGTTGGCACAGATCCCCGAGGACGGCTCCCCCCGGCTCCCGTCGCATCCAGCCTTGCCGTTACGGCCTGACAGCGAGAGCGCGCGTCCGACTGACAGGTGGACAGGCCGATACCGAGCGCGACGCGGCTGTGAGTGAAGGGAGGGTGGCACGGTCCCCCGGCGCGAGATTAGGGACGCGCTGATGGACAGCGAGAGGCTGGCCGGCGGAGGGATCGGTGACAGCCGGAGCGATGCCGCGCGCGATACATTATCTACCCGGCCTCCCTGGAAGCCAGCCGGGGCAGGGAGCGAGGCTGATCCCCACCGCCGTCAGGCAGAGGCAGGGTGCGGGCGCCGCGAGGACGTTGCTGACAGCCGGGCTCCCAGCACAGGAAGGCGCCTCTGGGGCGGCCCCGCAGGGGAGGGAGGGAGGGGAGCAGCCCAAACCCAAGCTGCATCACCCGGATGCTCGGAGACATCCTGGGGTCAGCTCCAGCCTCAGAGGTCGCGTGCCCTGACCTCCAGGGAGAGGAGCTAGGCTGCCCGGCAGCAGCGAGGAGGGACGTGCAGCCAGAGCTCCCCAACCCTGACGGGCCAAGGAGTCGCCAGCCGTGTGCAGGGCTTAGCACACAAGATGCCCGTACAGGGGCTGATGCAAACCAGGTGGAAACCTGCCCTCTCACATGCCCCCCTGCGGCGGCACTGGGCCGCCTGGTACATGGAGCAAGGCAGACAGGCGCGGGCACCTCCCTTCAGGTACCCGAGTCCGAGGACCCGGGCTGGGGCAATGTGCTCAGCCCTCTCCGGCCTGGCAGCGGACTCTCCGAGGGTGGGAGTCCTTCAGGCTTCCCTCCCAACCCCTTCCAGCCTGCAGGTTGTTTGCAAACTATGTGCTGCTTCTGTCTTCAGCCGCTGGCGGTGCAATTGGCCGCCGAAATCACATGAAGTCACCCCCAGCTGCTCCCGGGGAAGCAGCACAAGCCCTGCAGCACCAAGGGCCCGGGCTGAGCACCCGTGATCCCGCCGGGGGAGCAGGGGGTGGAAGATGCTGGTCTTCCCAGGCAGGCCCCCGGGGCCCGGTCCGTGCCTGCGAGCAGGGCTTGACCATCACACACACACCAAGGGCCGGGGCCTGGCGCCCTGCGGCTGCTGCGATGAAGAGGGATGGCAATTCGAGCCATCGGGCGATTACCCCACGATCAGCGTGCCTCTCAAAGTTGGCAGCTGGCTGCCGCGCTCCCGAACGGCCCGTGCAAGTGATGGACAGGCCGGGGACCCTCCGGAGGCCAGGCATAAATGAGGAATAGCGACGGCACCGGCGGAAGAGAGGAGAACGGCCGCGGCAAGCGTGGCGTGGAGCAGGAGCGAAGCAGCGCTGGCTCGTCCACCCCGATGGCCCCCGCCCCGGGAGAGCACGGCGAGGGAGGAGCGCGAGCCTGCCCTCAGCCCCCGCAGCAAGAGCTGCTGGCAAGCCCACGGTGCCAGGCCACTGCCTGCGACCCTGAGCTCCCAGGCGGGGTTTGAGCATGCAGACAGGCACAGGCACGTCCCAAAGGGGCTGCGGGGCGAGGACAAGCCCTGGACTTCCTCCAGGGTGGACGGCGCGGGGTCCTGCCTCCTCGGACAGGGCCGCGACCACTGCAGGAGACGCCCGCGAAGGGCACGGCCCTTTCCACCGCAGCGCCACGGGACTGCAGAC